TCCCCAATTTTTTTTTTTTTTTTTTTTTTTTTTTTTAGAGATAAAAAAATTCAAAAAACATTTTTATATTCTTCGAAGTGTATGTTTTTTGTTTTGTTATGTTTTATATTCTTTTGTTAACGTATTCTTGACTTTACATTTTGTTTCATTTTTTTCATTTTGAGGCTGACTTTTCGTTCTCTCTCATTTAGAGTTGATTATTAATATATATAGCCCTTGTTTGGTGGGGGATTAAAGTGAGATTTTAAGCAGATTCGGTAAAAGTTTATGAAATGTATTAATTAAAAATTGTAAGTCATATGAAATAGATGGTTAAAATTAATTTTTGAATTTAATTTAGATTAAAATTTAGATTTTAATTTCTACCAAATTGCGGCATAGTTGATCAAACTCTTTTTTCACTTAAATTAATGTTAGAACAATTTTAAAAATATGAAAATACTTTCAAGTTTCTATATGAATTTAAAAAATTATAGACTACATATAATAATTATTTGAAATGTTGGTGTAATAAGTTTAAAGATTTTTTAAAGCACGACACATGTTCTGATATTGATGGGTAGAAGTTACTTCAGAGCTGCAAATTGTGACAAATTGATTGTCAGAAGAGGTCCAAAAAGGCTATTGAATTGTTAGAACGTATAAAAAGGATGAATTATTAATTTTTAAATGTGTGAATTATTTATAGAATATTATTAACTATACTAGTTATAGTTGCATCTTTTGAGAGGAGCTTCTTAAAGTTGATGTTAATAAAATCTTACATTCGATCAACAATTTTACAAGGAATGTTGACCTCATTGGCCATGTGGTATATTAAAAATAAAGTTCTTAATCATATATATTGTAGTATAATTGTTGATTTTCTATCAAAAAATTTAGTAGAGTAAATCTAATTGAGACGTTTGAAAGTTTTAAATTAATTTTGTCACTTTGAACATTCTATTTAATAAGAAAAACATTATTTTCCATTATATATATATATATATATATATAGAGGTCCCATGTTCGAACTTGACCAAAGACCCCTAAAATCTCAAGACCGACTCTGAGTGTAATGACTGTATTCTACGCTTAGTTCAGATTCGATTTGTCGATTAATGATTATAAGCTCACGCATATTTCTTTTATGAGCTGGTTTTAAGGTAAGTTCTCTTCCCAGTAAAAGGCCGGTCTTGTAAAATCACTCAAATGAGAATATGGATCGCTATGGACCTCAGTTCTATAACGAGGGATGAAATGCAGTTATTATGTTGTGTTTTGAATTGTCGAGTTGAGACTTAGTTTGTGAGCTTATAACTATATATTTGCATCTTGCGTTTCATAAATGTATCCAAATCAAAATCCATTTGTATCTTTATTATTGGAAAGGGGAAATTGCAGCAGCTATCCCTAACCTTTTCGTTTTTTGCAGACTTTACCATAACCTTCATTTTGTGCCAGTGAAGGCTCCTAACCTATTATAAATATGCATCTGAGGTTCATTTGGGCGGAAACCGTCCAAAACACCGTCAATTGACTTGGAAAATTCTTTGAACTATTTGCTACCGCAATGGTTTTATTGAATATTGATGCCTTTTCGAACGATATTTTTGGATGATTTTATTGGATGTTGATTATTTAATTTTTCCTATCAACTGACGATGTTTTGGACAGTTTCCATCCAGATGGATCTCAGATGCATATTTATGAAAGGCTGAGAATTTTCGTTGGCACAAAATGAAAGTTAGTGTGATGTCTGTAAAAAATAAAAAGATTAGAGACTGTTGCTGCAATTTTCCTTATTGGAAATGCAACTGAAAATCCAATTTGAAACCAAATTTCAGAAGGATTGGGATGTTTCGATATACAGTCACTTTTTTAGCATTGTCCGATTTTTACTAAAAAGTAAAAACAGGAAATTACATAGATTCCCCTTGATTTTAACAGATTTATTGGATCGTTATGGTGTTTATTTCTTAAAAATAATTGAATTAACAATGAGCTACATTGGGCCTGTGTACTTTCACTTGAGATGATGATCTGACTTGTTGGGCCGGATAGGAATTGGCCCATCATATCGCAGAGCCCAATACATTAAGCCTTACCCAGCCCAAATGTTATGGGTCCGAAGAGTCAACCAAATTCACCTTCGAAATTTGACCACAAATATATATTTTTTCAATTATAATTTAACTCGATTCTGTAAGTTTTAGTACCAAAATAGCTGGAATAATTATTTGTAGCACTCTTGTAGATTTATATTTTTAATACCTTGGGTGATTTATGCTCACTACTTGTGGATGTATCAACTCGAGTTTACCATGACTTTTCACCCGAAATATCTAGAAAATATATACCAAAAACCTATTATTTTTTCTCGAATTTGAGTTGGGATACTTGAAAGAGCCATGCTTGGTGTACAGTAGGGGCCCCCACGATCAACATGGAGCCCCTTATGTGAGGTGGCTGTAAGTGTACAGTCTTATGTGGATTGTACACTTAGAAAAACTCTACTTGAAATTGAGTACATTTTTAGTAAAAATACGAAATATAAAATTTTTTTAAGTTTCAAATATTATCTGGTCCCTGTTTGAGCTTTATTTTTTTAATATTCATTTTCAACTATATATTCTCCCGTAAAATAATGTGAAACGTAAACTCAAAACTTATTCTTATATTTTAATCACACATTCTCCAAAAAAATCATTTCCAAAACATCTTTCTTTCTTTCTTTCCAAAATTTCATTTTAATGGAGTCCAAACAGGAGCTTAATGCCCGGCATGTGCACAGTTAGAAGCGTTGCTCGATTGGTTGACCCCATTAACTAAAGGAGAATCGACATCCTATGGTCAAGCCAAAGAGGAGAGAAATTGTACACAACAACACCGCACCAAACATGTCAGATTCAATCCCTTTTGATGGCCATTCAAAACAAGAATTATCACGTATGTTTGGCTCGTGATTCATTTTGTAGTCTTTTCCCAGGTTGATTAATGGACTATGTTCTGATACAAAATATTTGTGGTTGCAAATTTGTACAGTCTGTTCGCACATGCCATTTCATCACCTATCAAGCAACATTGGGGGCCAATATAAGTGTCTAATAAATGGCAAACCAACTCATTTATTGTCATGCGAGAATGAATGTGAGGTTGGCCATGGAATTATTAACGACCGGTGCGTCCCGGTAAGGGAGTGGTGGGCGGCCCTACGTGTAGGCAACAACAGCACCAGCTCAACAGAAGTACGACCCATTTATCGAATCCTTCAGTTGGCTTCCCCAATTAATCACGAGGTGTGTAGCGAGTGCTTCTAACCACTCTGCCATTCAATGACCGACACGGATGCCTTGTGCAATAAATGCACGTTTGGTGAAAGAATCAAAACACGATAAGATTAGACCGTACTATCCATCTTAAGAAACGAACCATATATATTGAAGGATAAGATGCATTTCACCATCTTGCAAATACACGAACAACTCACAACGAATGAATAAACATGTTTACTTTGGAAGTGAAACTCGAGAATTTGTTGCTCTCTTCATCTAAAGAGATCCACACTTGAAACTCGTGAAACAACCTGTAAAACAAACATAGCAATATCACATTTAGAACCAATAACAGAAAACATGCCAATGCATTGCAAGTTCTTCACAATTTTTTCTCGCGTCAATATGAATATGCAACATTATGCAATAACCGCAATGTGCAAGGCAAAACAGACACCTGAGGGGTGCAGAGATCATACTTGCTGCCTTAATAGAAACCAAGTGCATGTTCTGTACGCAATATTGAACATTATAATGAACAAGTTTTTAGCTCTTTTTTCCTTAATTACTATCATAACATCCATACTGGATATGCCAAAATACAGTTTGAGAAGTGATACAGAAAGTGCCACCAAACTTCTACAACTTGACCGAGAGAGGAATTTATAGAAATCACACATATGTAAGATATGTAATTGCAATTTACCATGCAAATTGCAATTGAAACATGAATTAAATAGATCTAGTGATATAGAGGACAGGAAACTCAATGATTGCGTATATATGGCATGAAGTATTCAAAAGAATTGCTTCTTAGTACAGTCCAATCCAATCAAATTCTCCCTACCAAACATGCTACTAAAGCTTTCTAAGGACTTGGGCTTTGCTTAGGCATCCTAAAATCATTAAAAGGGCAATGTTTGCAAAATATGACAGTTGGACACTTTCATCTTGGTAAGCCTCATATAGAGAGAAATCCAAAGGATCCACGGATAGATTCACCCATACATAGTGGCTGGCAGAGATATCGGCGCTCTGATCATAGTGAACTCCACCAAATGGCTAGTTCGTTTGGCAGGGCATGCAAATTCCTCGATCGAGAACCAGGCTTATTGACTTGGAATTGACGACAATTAAGAGGCTAATCACCAGGAAAAGAAACTAGCAATATCCCTCAAATCAATGTATTAAGCTCCCTAATGTACATGATGGAATCTCACAAATCATATAACTTAATCAAGCATAATTTTTTACACTAATTTTTCCTCTGCCACAACATAAGAAGTTAACTGCTGGGATAGCGCACCGTACATCAATTCTTGATTGGAACTTTGGTGCTCATCCTACAAATAGCTCTGATTTTTAACTCTATCCAGTAACCATGGAGACTTCGTGTCAATAACAGTGGAAAGGTACACAACTTTGTGATATTCAACAAGACATGTTAAATGATAGGCGATAATGAAACAAATAAATATCTGTCTCATCTTTTTGTGCTCATCCATATCACCTA